TAAAGCTTAGTCACCATAAACGTCCAGTAAAATACGATGGCTTTTGGTAGCACTTTTCTTTATGTTAAAGTAATGAAGAAGAACTCCCCGCAAAAACACTTTATCTGGCAAAAATTTCGATATTTTCAAATGAATGAAGAACAAAAGAAATGACACGACGCGAAATAATACTAGTAGAGCCCTTTCTTAGCACGAATGCATAATGCATACACCCAATATCTTCAGGTTTCGGCAATAAGCGTAAGTAAAATGCATTTCAAATAATTGTTTTTTGTTCTAAAGTTTGAACCTTTGCATTATATTTATGTGTAATAGTTCATCATTCAAATGATTACCTCGCAAATTCGTAAAACTTCGATCCGTTTGAAGTAATTTTCGACCACTTTTTGGCACGTATTGGGCGGTGTCTCAGCCATATGACGGATGTTGGTTTTCGAGTGCTCAATAGTAAAAGGTTTATCTGCACAATGACGATCATTCGCGTAACTCCACAAAGATAAATCCAACGGTGTCAAATTGCACGATCTCGGCGAATGCTGAAAAATTTAAAAAACTGCACACTTTGATATCCACTCTCAGACCACATTACGTCAGAAAATGTCTTCAGAAGCAGTGATAAGCAACATATATAAATAGTTTGTCAGCGTAATAGGCATTAGGAACTAGCAAAATTCTTGCGAAGAGTGAAAATTTTATGCAAAACATATGAGGTTTGGTAGATTATGTCAACCCCTACGAGTGTATTTGTGACATAAAATCCGCCGTTCGTAGGCGGCTTAGTGCAAACTGTAGGTCGCTCCAATTGTTGGAAAAAGATCAAGACGCAAAACCACAAATAGGTGGAGGAGCGCGACCGAGTCGCCTCAGCGGTTACAAAGCGCCAATTATAATAAAAAAAAGGTCCATTTTAGTAATCCAGTAAGCACTACCCTGGCTCACCCCTGGCTCACGCAGTGTAGTGGCATACGCTGACGACTTTGCCCTAACAGGGACAGGTAAACATCTACTAACCTTAAGTGATCTACTCCAAAATGCTCTATCCTACGGAGCATATTAGAGAAAACTCAACGATTGGCTGTTATCCTCGTAACAGGAGCACCTTCATCAGCTGCCCCAAAGCTCTGTTAATTCTTCTCAACATTCATCCTCTGGATCTATACCATAAACTACAAGCGGACTGCAATGCAATCTCACTTAACGCAACTCAACCTTGGAAGAATTGTAGTATGGGAAACACAGAAATATTATTTCCTATAGAAAAGCCGAAGGAGCTGGACTATACCACCTCCTGTTTGCGCTTCGATAATCTTTTATCCGCGAGAATCCCAAACAGATGTGAGTGGGAAACTACCAACGCTCCCGACCAGGAGCCATAGCCATCTTCACAGACAACTCGAAGCTTGATGGAAAAAAGAGCTGCGGAATTTATTCTCTCATTCATTCACTGAATATGAGCATGAGACTACTGAACCGCTGGTAATGGTACGTCAAAAGTGCACATAAAATGTAGGAACTTTCTCAACAAGCTGTCAACTAAATATGGCACAGGGACATCCCAGGCAATTGCATTGCAGACTAACTAGCAAGAGAAGAAACCTTTCTAGCCACGATAAAACATGCACACGATGCTGGTTTACCTCTGTCCACGGCAAAGAGCATGCTTAAACTGGCCTTTATCCGGCACGTTCACTCAAGTTGGTTGAACGAGATCACGTGCAACCTGATCAGACACCCAGGGCAGAATGTGGACACGAAAAAAATCAAAATATTTTATCCTTCTAGACCGGTTCTCCATTAAAATAACGGCTGGCAAAATAACTGGACACTGTTTAATGGTGCTTCACGGGAAAATAATGATTTTTGCCACAGCTGTAGGGACGAAGAAGAAGAGGAGACCATCGAGCACTACCTCTGCGACTGTCCCGTCTTGACATCAGCGCGATACAAGTTCCTTGGAAGACATTTCTTCGACTTTCAGTAAATATAAATGATATATTTTTAGCCGTGTGGCTTTCAATACAGTAATACTTTTTTTGAAGTTGGTCTTTTTTACAGCTGCTACTTGATTTATACTCAGATTTTTTTTCTACTGCATAAAGAATAGACTTACTCCGGAACAACGGTACGGTCCGCGTGGTGTGCCGAGTGCTGTGTTCAATTTCGGTCGACTTTAACGCCCAACAGAGTTGGTAACTCGAAAAACTATGGATTGGTTTGGCTCTACAGACTATCCTCCGTAGACTATGACTCCGTAGAATACGCACCAATGACGCTGTTGCTGCTGTGGAGCAGAATATCGAAGAAGACTACAACGAATCCATTGGATTATCATGATGAAGATCTCCAAGTGATTGTTGGTCCTCAAAAAGACACTGTTTGCTCATTACTTCACAAAAGAAGGCTGCTTTACATTACAGATAATGTAGAACGCTGTAGTATAGAGTCATGATTGATGATTTTTTTGTGCCTGAATTGGTGGATGTTGATGTGGATGATATTTAATTTCGACAAGACAGCGCTATGCCACGCAGCCGATGAAAAAATCAGTTTATTGAAGATAACTTGTGATAGGTGGACTAACTTGCATCGTGTCTCGAAGATCATCCGATTAAACGCCGCTGGACTATTTTTTGTTATGTCGATGCGATTGACGCTTTGGACGAAAGAATTCGGCGCGTTATTGCTGACATATGTATGGTCCTAATAGAAAAATTTGGCTCTGGGCGAATATTTATTCGAGCCAGCCGCGACGATCTCTTGGCCGAAATAATTTTTGAAACACAATGGCAAGCTCTTACCTTTATAATAAAGTTAAATTCTTGATCTTAACATTTAATAATATGTATTTTATTTTTCCTTGACAACTACATGTTCTGAAAAAAAACACCCTTTATTTGGCCATAAGCGAGTATGTCAAACGCATATGTATTTTTCACACGTCAGCGCCACTTTGTTCACTGGGGCGCACTGTGGCATACACCAATTTATGTCACTCACAATTCATTAAATCACAAACGCAAATCGGCAGCAAAACTAATTAAAGTGAAATATTTGCGACTCTCAGTCAACATGAATTTCAGACAGCAACGACAAACGACTCTATTGCCAAGACTGGGAGTTCGAAAAATAAAAGAAAAATTCCCCTACATACGTGTGCATTGCGGTTAATTGAACGCGTGCGCATGCGCACTTTATTACCATCGACCCGGTTGGTAAGACATTTGGAAACGGGCGAATGCAAAGTCGATAGTTTCATAAGCTTAACACAACCACACTCACTCACTCGGAGTTCATGTACACCTCTAGCTGAATCTGCGGTACTCATATCGACGTCTGTTAGTTGCAATTAGCTGTTATCGTGGGCTTAAAAGTACAAACTCGAAGTGATCAGTTAATTCGATTGAAATGGCAATGGTCAGAGAGATAGCAGTTTATCTTGCCAGAGAGCATATCTATACCAGGCCATTCGCAAGGAGACCTCCTATGGTGGCGGAAGGGGCTTCGAAATATAAGAATTAAATAATTGCGTGGAGAAGACACCACTGCGCTGAAACCTTTATTTAAATTTCATTAAAATTCTACCGACGGCTGCCCCCAGCAGTGTAATTCAAGGTACACTTCTTCATACGCGGTACTTTCTATCCGTCTGGTTTCATCGCAAGAGTCAATTTTAGGTGAAGTCATGAGTGGGTATTAGTGAAGAGTTCGGCTTGCGCTGAACACAGCTGCTTGAGCATAAGCATGCTTATACCGGCAGAGCCAATGGATTTAGAGGCCTTCGTCATCCCGATATTCCCCTCAATCTCCCGCCTGGGGAAGTGGTGTTTGGCAGTTTGCGGAGTTTTGCCACATGAAGGGTAAAGTGTGAAAAGCCGGCTAAAATAGTACACGCACTTCTTCGGATTCGACGAGTCGCGGTCACCGAATGAGATTTCCTTTCGGCCATAACATCCCTTTTAATTTGACAATAACTCCGTGTTTGCCTCCCACTTGCGCCGCAATTATTGACTAGTGGATTTGTGAATACCAAGCATGGGACGGACGTGGGCAGCTGCAACTTATGCTGCTTCAGTATCAAACTTTAGGCAAATTTAAAAAATATTTGGGATTAAAAAAAATCGGAGTGGAAATGGTAAACGTGAAGAAGATTTTGGATCAAAACCACATTCGAATGGAAAACATTTTTCTTGATCTGTTAAAGATTTTTTTGATAAAATAGAAGCTAATATTATTACAAAGCAAATTTCCGCAATTCGCCCTGCCGATGAAAAGAGAGCGACAACAGTCTCAAATGTTCTGTAAGACAGACGTTCGCCAGATCCACCGTGAAGTGGGGACGTCAATGAAGACGTTCTTAGTAAATTCCGTGAGGCAGAACTTGAAATTGAAAACTGTCTGGTGATCCATGGAACTAAAGTCGCCAAGTTTTGAGTTTATTAGACCAGTGTTAGAGGTTGTGATGTCTCGTAAACTGCTGTTTTTGTCCATCCAATCTTTACCACTTAGTCTAAGCACCTAACGCCATTTCCCCAGTTATTGTACTTACTTGGACTCCTGCTGCTCACGGCTTTCATAAACTATTGGCTTCCGAAAGCCAGCAGCACCACCGCTGAAGAGTTTTTCCTTCAATTTGTAGTTTTTCGTCTGGATATTTTTCCTCCATTTGTAGGATCTACAGTTTATTCTAAAGCGCCTCCGTACTGCAGCGAATTTTTATGAGGAGCCTTCTATTTCATGTCAGAAATACACCCGGAAAGCTTGACATTCCCTGCCGGGGGGCGACCGCAATTAGAAAAATAACTTTATACAATTTTTTGGATGTTGGTCGAAGCAAGTCTCGGACCATAGCCACCCGAATATTAGTACGCAATGCTGGCCACTCGCATTATGTAGATATCTCTCCATCTACTTCGTGCAGCCTTCTTCTAGGAGTAAAATCTCCATCCTTGCACAATCTGCCTCATGAGGATCTTATAATTCTGCAATAAACACAGTCTTTACGATTTTGTGATAAAAAAATAATAATTTTATTTGGATCATTCTAAATATTCTGTGGAGTTTAATGAGATACAATAAGTTTCTATTCAGAAATAGTAATGATAATTTAGCAAAGCTAGGTTTTTCAAGTTAGTGTTTCTATGTTTATGCCGGATAGTAAAAGCGGACTTTGTCCGAACTATACTAACAAGCTTATACCTTAAACTTCTGCAGCAGATGCTTCAGTTCCATGTTTTGCCTGCGCAAGAAAGCACATTCCTTATCGAGCTTGGTACGCTGCTTCAACACCTCGACATAATGGTTCAAGCCATGCTCCAAAGTCATCCACAGCTTGCGCTTCTCTTCAGGAAAGTAATCTTTGAATTTCCCCCAAAACGATTTAATGGTCTCCCCGTCAAACGGTATTGTGTTGCTGAGTAGTTCATTTTCTTCCAAGAATTTCTTATAGGACATTTGTTGTTGCATTTGCTTTTTGGTAAACTCATTCAGTGCCATAAGTACGAATACCGGTTCCACAACTAAATGATGATTTTTACAACGCGGATGTTTTTTAAGCTTATCATAGCATTTACTCAGCTGATCTTCACCCTTATCTTCATTGGTCGGATCAAATTCCGGATCGACATCGAGATCATCATCCGGTGCAACCATATCCTCGAACTCACGTCCTATGCGGTAGAAGTCTTGCATAGCCTCTTTTGGTAGCCCATGTGGACAGTTCGGACAATAGGCGTAGGGTAAAAAGCATTCGGTAAGTTTGGAAATCATCTTCACATTATCAACACGCAGAGCAATGAAAATGTTGTCCAGCCGCACAACGGTTTTCTCAGCCTCCGAATAAGGTTCTAATATTTTGAATAATTTCTCTTCGATTAGAAAGCCAGCACGATCGGCGATTTTACGCAAAATATTCCGCACCAAACCTCGCTCCAATATCTCCTCACAAATACGTGGTGGTGGCGCACTAGACTTGCGTTTCTTCTTAACAGACTTCAATACATTATCATGGGACTTTTTCGCTGTCTCATTTATATCAGTCCAATCGACGTTTGGCTCTGTCCAAGGTATGGCCAATTGTTGTTCGTATAGTATACGATCGATTTCGTAGATTTTCGTTAGTAGATCTTTGAGCTCCTTGTAATTGATTGCCCACACAAGATCGAATTTCCGTTTGTTGTTGGAACGAAACTGTTGCGCCTTCAGTTCGAGATCGCTTATGCTCTCATGCAGCTTTTGTATCTCAGTCAGAAAACGTTGTAATTTATTTTCGTGTTGTTTATTCACGGCGTTGATTTTAATTTTTAATGACGCTATATTTTCATTAAGTTTGGCAAGTCGACGCTTCTGCTGATTGCTAATCACGATATTTTCCTCGTTGCGCTTTTGCAGCACCTGATAGTTATAGTCCAGCTTCTCCGAGTTCATCAAGACCGTATTGCGTACGTTGCGTAACTCCCATTCCAACATTTCAGCCTCCTTTTCGAGCCTTATACGCGTGCTGCAGGTGAGCTCCTCCTGTACCGCTGCAATGCGCGCTACTTCGGCCGCGTAGAACTCCTCCTTCTGTTTGGCTAAATCGAATTTCGTCTTCTCACTATCTGCCATATCATCGTAGAATTTATTCCACTTATTCGCCTCTGTAAATGCGATCGTTTCACGTTCTTCACTTATGGTATTCTCCAATATTTCCAAATGGCTTTGGTATGCCAATTTTATTACTTCGATTTGACGATCAATACGTTCTACTAAACAACGCACATCGTTGGCTTGTGCCATTTGATCGGTATAATATTTAGCGTTGATACGGTCTATCTCTTTCTGACACTGCTCGATGAGGCTATCTTTGCTCGCCATCAAAGCGGCGACCTTTTCTTTTTGCTCTTCCAAATGCTCAAATAACGCCATTGGTTCTTTGAACTCCTCCAACTCGGACCATTTCGCGGCGATTTCATTGAAACGTGCTATTGACTCAATCGATTCCTTTTGCAGATCTTTGCTTAGCAACTGATTACGCTCAGCCTCGTACTCGCGTCGCATATGCTCACGCTTCTCGTTAGCCACCTTCACATTTGTCACCAGCTCTTGACCGAACTCAAGTAAATCTTGCAATTTGTGATCGCTCTCCTCCAGCTGACGTTCAACCGGATCCTTTTTCTCCTCTGTCTTCTGCACTAAAGTCTTCGGTGCCGCTTTCATACGCATCTTATATTCATCTCTAACGAGTCGTCGTTTAATGTCCAATGCTTTCGATGAATTTGTCGGATCCGACTGGTTAAGCAATATTTTCAGTTTTTCCATTTGTATATTGCTGGCGTTTGAACTGCGCGTTACAACAACATCGGCCATGGAGTTTTGTCCAGAGGATTTCAAAGACATGACGTCCAAAGACATGACCGAACCTCCCTCCATTTCGATATTATGGTAAATCGGTTAGCAAATAAACAAATATATATTTTTTTTTAAAGAAATTAATTCGATTTTTATGTTGTTGTGAAAAAATTCAATTGTTTTGATTTGTAGGCAATCAAACTGTTTTGTTGCTATGACAGTTGCTTCACTGTTATTTTTCTGGTATAAACACATGCTGGTTGCTTGGTATGTTCAGTTCGTTGGTGTGTGGTGAATTTTATAATAAGCCGTTAAGCTCTACGGTCTTCATGTTTTTCCAACAAATAAAGAGAACTAAAGTTTTACGCCTAGTCTAACCTATAACCCTCCGACTCGTATCAAACTCTGATACCCACTCGGCTGCCAAGTGAGTGTCAAGTAGCTCTCGTGCGTCTAAATGATTAACTTTCCAAGTAACTTCGAGCCTGTCAACGGGGAAATCTAAGGAAAGGTCCACGAAATGACTTGTTCAGCGAACAGATTAGGAAGGCTCTGCAAAAGAGGAGCTTCTATCGTGTAATTGCTTTTTGTAAGTAGTTTGTCAGTGAGGTATGTCCGTGCTCTATGGGTGTAATGGGAGCTGCCGATCTGCGCTGTAATTCCCAGAACGAAGGCATTTCTAAAAATTATTTACCTATCCCCTACCTGATGAGAAGCTTTGCAGAGTCCACATAATTTCGAAGTCTCCTTCTGATGTGCCCACGACACGGCCACTCTTTAAGTAGATATCTATGAGTATAATCTCTAGTATTACAGTTTTCAAGTGAGCTATTTATGCTGAGTCTCATACAAGAACAGAAATGTGGATGTTACAATGAAGACTGGGTTTTAAAATTTTTAAGACTGCTTTGGAAAGATCAAATGAGAATGTAAATCTGATCACATACACAGTTGTGTTTACTAGTATACTGGACCCAGGGAGGTGACCTAGTGACGTATGCACAGAGTATACTGAATTTATGAAGGGCAGACTACTCCAGCCTGCTGAATGGCAGTCAAAATGAGACACCCAGAGCTGGTGGACCCGAAACTCCAAATGATAACGATGGAAAAGTTGTTCCGTTACACGACTATGGAGAAGTCCAATCCCGACGATTGGAATCTAAGTGTGCTCTGACCCAACCCACAAAAAAGGTGATCCCACAATCTGCGCCTACTACGGTGGAGTAAGCCTTCGTCGCATGTAAGATCCTATCTAGCGTATTGTGTGAAAGGCTGTTCAGTGTGGCTTTAAACCTCGTATGTCAACCGTTTACCAGATATTCACCATGCGCCAAATTTTGGATAAGACCCGTGAAAAGAGGATCGACACTGACCACCTCCTGGCCGCCTTCGACAGCACGAAAAGAAGCTGCCTCAACGCCTCTATGTCTGAATTTATTATCCCCACAAAACTTATAATGCTTTGTAAACTGACCTTGAACAACACTAAAAGAACATCTCCGAGCCGATCGATACCAGACGAGGTTTGAGACAGAGCGATTCCTTATCGTGTAATTTCTTTAATTTAATGCTGGTAAAAATAATAAGAGATGCAGAGCTGAATGGAGAAGGTACAATCTTCTATAAGGGTGTACATCTGCTGGCGTATGCCAATGACATCAACAATCGCGCCGTGTGTTCTGCTTTCTCAAGACCGGATAAAAAACGCGAAGCAAGACGAACTAACCCCTATCATCAAATAAACAGTCATCGCATTGGCGACTCGGCTCCCGCGTCAATGTTGACAGTCATAACTTTTAAGTTGTAGATGACTTCGTCTATCTTGGAATCAGTATTAACACCAACCTAGAAATCCAACTTTTGCCAACAGGTGCTACTTTGGACTGAGTAGGCAATTGAAAAGTAAAGTCCTCGGCGAACGAAAACCAAACTCTACAAGTTGTACATCATACCCTTCCTACTATCTGGTGAGGAAACATGGACGATATCGGCTGCACTGGCTAGGACATGTCGTCCGAATAGATGAGCTTCGAAAGTATTCGATGCAATAACCGTCCACTCCGTTGGAAGGATCAGGTAGAAAGGCTTCATCGGTATTTCCAACTAGCACCAAACAGCGAAAAGAAAAGATGAATAGCGCGCTATAATTGATTCCGCGTAAGTGGTGCCCATACCAATAAAGAAGAAGAAAAATAAAATTATGGTATTATAACCAGCTGACTTCATCTTCCTAACATTCACTCAGAGTCATTGGCTTGCCATGCCGAGTGACTACTCCTCCTTTACCGGCGGAGTTAATACAGACGATCCTTTTTTATGTGATCCTTCCAGTTGGGTGAAGGCCTTCCTTTTGCTCTCCTTCTACCAGAAGGTACTGCAGCGACAAATTTACCTCATGAAAACTCCTAACGCCGACACATCAGATGTCATCGTCCATGCCTCCACACGATAAGGCAGAACAAATTGATTAGCGACTACCAGACTTTAATCCCTTTTCGTTGAGAGCGCACTTATACTTTCAATTTCCTACTCAGTCAAAAGTAGTAATTGTTGAGTGGTTTTTAGTTGGATTTTCTGGCTGACATTGTTGTTGGTGTTAACACTAGTTACATGGTAGACGAAATTGCCTAAGACTTCCAAGTTATCACCCTGCTCAGTGACGTGGGAGTCAAGACGCTAGAACGCTGACTGTTTGTTTGAAGAAAGGAGATATTTCGTCTTGCCCTCGTTCAATACCAGACCCGACAACTTTACAAGCACCCAATAGCTTTATAAATTTCACATGCTCTGCATACGCCGCTCAGACTGGTATAAAGTGGCTTATAAAATGGCGGCTATAAAATTATAAACACACTCCTTGACTGTGAAGACACACCTCTTTAATACAACAAGAACAAAATGCAATCCATTACATGTATGTACACACATACATATCCATATGTATGCATATAATCACATTTAGGTATGTATGTATGAATGTGTGAATTTGAAAGCTCTAATTAAATGGGTGTATCTGCATGTGACGAAGAAACCAGCAGACGGAAAGATCATTTTGTATCCCCTTTCTTACACGTCTTTTTCTTATGCAAGATGGGGCTTACTTCGCTACGCTGCAAGAATGTCAGCAACGAGTGTCGTCTTTGTCATAATTGGCGAAGTCTGATGAAGATTTACAGTAGTTGGTGATGCCAACATAAATACATACATACATACGCGCAATGTGGCATAGGCTAATGAATAGCAGTGTCAGCTGGTTGCGGGTCATGTGTTCAAGTGCCAACAAAATCATAATCTAAAATAAAGTGATGAGTTTGAAGCACTAGACTCATGGAAAACTTTTAAAATTATTAATTTTTTTTACATCGTTAGTTTCTGTCATGAAATTCATACATCATCAGATACATTATAATGTGAAATCAAATCTTTTTGTGGTTAGTGAATCCTCTTCAGTCGAATAAGTAAATCAGTGGGAAATCGATTTTCCCTTACACGCTCCTGCTGCTTTGATCTGAACTCTTAACGAGATCACTTCTTAATTTTTTATTAAGTAACCTACGAGGCCTTGTTGTTTGTATGAATTGAATATTTGTTATACAACAAAGAAAAAATGGTAGAAGTGACAGTTGTTTCGGAGATCACCACATCTCCTCATCAGATTTCTTATGGCAGGGATCGAACCAACGGATCCTGACTTAACAGGTCAGATGCCTGAAAGATCTCATTTAGAAACAATATTACTCTTTTCCAGGTACTGGAATCACCAGCCTACTCTGTGTGCTTGTCACATATGTACATATGACATATGACGTTTGAGAAGCGACTTTCTCTCAAATCTTCTCCTGTTACCTTAAGTGTTTGACCTTGAGCTTTCCCCGCAGGGAAAAGGTAAACTAGTATGCTAAAACTCTAGTCAAATGCTAGTATTTTGAAGACGAAATCATACTAGTTTGTCGTCAACCAGAATTATACCAGTATTTAAAACACAAAAATATACTAATTTGCAATAAACTAGAATTATACTAGTATTTTTGAATGAAATCTGGACTAGTTTGCAAAAGTTCTAATATATTAGTCAATAAGAAGTTCGTTCGGAGATGGCGTTATTGTCCATAGTACTAGTGTTACGTGTCGCATCATGGCATACTATACGGCGCTGAAAACGTGTTTATTCGCTCTAAAAGTTTGTCTTTGACAGTTTTTGGATTGATTTACTCAGCACGTTGTGAGCGCTCGTCCAAGATGGACACCAGCAAAGCGAAATTTCGCTATATTTTACAATTTTTCTTCAATCAAGGCAAAAAAGCGGCCCAAGTGGCTGAAAAAATTAATTTAGTTTATGGGCCCGATACTGTAAACGAACTTGTAGCACAAAAGTGGTTTGCTAGGTTCCGTTCCGGTAATCTTGATGTCACAGATGCACCACGCGTCGGGAAGCCTGTCGTCGAAAATTGCGATACAATCATGGGAATAGTGGAAATAGACCATCACGTGAGCACTTATTTAATTGCTGAGGAACTAAAGATGAGCCAGAAAACCATTTGGAACCATTTGCATAACCTTGGATTCAAAAATGTTTGAGTGTCACACGAACTAACGCAAAAAAACATGAAGGACCGAATTTCCGTCGGTGAAACGCTGCTTAAGCGCAACAAAATCAACCCGTTTCTGAAGCAGATTGTGACTGGCAATGAAAAATGGTTCACTCACGACAACATCGAGCGCAAACGGTCGGGGTCAAAGCTCGGAGAAGCGGCCCAGACAGTGCCCAAGACCGGACTGACGGCCAGGAAGGTTTCACTGTGAGTTTGGTGGGATTAGCAAGGAATCATCTACTATGAGCAGCTCCCCTATGTCCAAACGCACAATTCGGGACGCAGCCTTCTACGAGAGGTGTACAATGCAGTTGGCATCTCTGACTTCAATCGGACAAATGTACACAACGTTATCATATTTTGAAAAATCAATAAAAAACCGAACGAACTTTTTATTTGACCTTAATTTTCAATTTATATACTAAGATGACCGTTGTTGAACACCTCCCTACGCCCGCGATGGGAATCGATTTGATAGTGATTATTTTTAAGCTCGAACTACAGCGGCTAATCCGTTGTTCGGCTAACGGAAGGGTATAAAGGACAAGCAACGGATTACGGAAGGAAACGGAGGGAAATGG